GTTGCTTGCTGCTCACAACCCAAACCTGTCAAAACTTAGGACCCACTAACCACAAAATCCCACCGCAGCTTACGCAACCCTGTCGGAGCTGTGCTCTACAACAGGCCATCTTGCACTTAATTGGACCACTCAACACTGTCGCTTCTCAGTAACAGTACCACCCCAAACTCAGTAAGGAAAACGACACTTACCCCTAAGCACACAAACAGAACTGCGACAGGAAAAGGTGTGTCTGCCACCATCCGTGCTTGCCGTCGTCTGCGACTGCAGGAGCCTATGCCAGCATACTTCACAAGGTTACAAGCCGCAGCATCACAGAAGACACAGCAACACAGCCTGGTGCACAGAAGACATGCCCACTTCATGCTGGTCCCCGCTGTCATACTCGCTTAGGTCAGTGTTGCAAACCAACCAAAATATCTCAACATGTAGCCAACAGCTAAGATCACATGACCCGCAAGTACTACCATACAGGCTTCCGGGGTCTGGCCTGCAATCTTCACTGCTCCGGCGGCGGATGGCAACCAGAAAGGACATGACCCTACCATAGGCACACCCATCACGTAAGAGCAAGTAAAATCATACCATCCGCTAGGGGCAGGAAATTTGCAAATGCCACTGTACAGGCCTCGGGCGGTCCTATCTGCCTCATGCCGGTTTCAGAAGTTGGGTGGGGATCGCATCTTCTCCATCGTCCATGGCCGTCTCCTGCCCTTCCTCCGCAGAAGGTCCGTCCGCCTCCCTCTGCTTTTTGCCGGTCTGTTGGAAGGCTTCCAAGACCTGTGGGCCAAAAAGCTGGATCACGTCTTTGTCGGGCATGGTACCCTCCTGCCATTGTTTTAGCGCGATAGCTTGTCCCGGTAGCTCATTGCGCTCGGGGTGGGTGGTCGGGAGAGTCTCCAACTCGAGTAGCTCGGTCGCGAAGCGGTCCCGGTCAACCTCTATGTCGTGCACCGTGGAGAAGAAACTCGCCAGCGCCGCTCCGCCAGCATTGTAGAGGTCCGCTACGGAAGCTCTTCCCGTGCACCACCGGTTGTAGAGGTCCCGCAAGTTGGCATCGCCCATACTGTACACGACCGGCCCCGACGTGGGGAAGTAATGCGTCTGTCCTTCTGGTACATGGCCTCGTGCAATGCGGGCTTCTTCTTCTTTCAGAAGCTGGCGTGCCTCCTGCTGTCCCATTTTCTTGCCCTGGTAGTAATAGGCCGGCTCACGCTTAGCGAGCTTGACCTCCATTCGGAGTTCCAGCTCAGTATCGCCATCCAGGTCGTACTCCAGGTAGCGTTTTCGGCCGCCCTTCGCTCCAAGAGACAAGGTGACCCTTGCGCATGCGCGGCCATTGCCTCCCGACCATCCAAGGTGACTCTGCAAGGCTGCTCTGTCCTCCTGCTGAGCGGCTGTGGCAGCCTCGCCCAACCGATCAGTGGAGGAGCCCGGGGTGCCCTCTCGGGAGGCGTTTGTCTGCTCCTGGTGCCACCTCCACAGCTCCATATCGTGTTCTCGCTGCTTCTCCTCCTCCGCTTCCTGCCGCTGCTCTTCTTCGAATTGTTGTCTTTGCCTCTCACCTTCGAGGGAGTCCTCGACCAGCTCGGGCGATGGTGGGCTTTGCGGCGGTGCTTCAGCACGGGGTTGGCGGGGTGTCATCGTACGCCTCAGGGGTGGCATAAGTCTATGCAACCATTTCTCCACCCAAAGCTGTTCCTCAGTGGTTGGTCCAGGAATAACTGCGGGGCTCGAGGCGGAGTACATGTGCCCTACCAAGAGCGCTTGCAGTTCACTCCAGAGCCGGACGTCATTGTTCTGTGCTTGTAGTTCCGCATGTAAGAAACGTGCTCGTCGGTCCGCATGGGCATTGTTAAGCTGCTGCAGCACTTCATGCAAGTCCTGGATGTTCTCGCGCTGCTGGTCTTCGTACGGAGGCCCTGCTGGGCCACGGCTGCTGACCGACTGCATCATGGCGGTCGTGTCGTCCTCTTCTCTTGCCTTTTCGCCGTGCATTTCCGCACTACTGCTCGCCGACCCTCTAACCATAGTCGGTTCGTCTGTGTCTGAGGCCTCTCGGGGATCTTGTGCGGCGTTGGAGGAGACAGCCATTTGTCGCCTCACCACAATGTCCTGCAGCTCTCCATACATTTGGTCGAAGACCGAACCCAAGGAATCCAGCATGGTCTGCAGGTCCTCAGCGCTCAAGCTTTCCATAGTGTATGCCACTGTATCCAGGAGGTCCTTCGGAAGGATGCTCGGTGAGCCGTCGGCGTCCCATTCCGGTTCCCTCAGCCCCGGATCGAACTCCAGGAGGTTCATCCACATCTGCTCCGCTGCAGGGACGTCCATGGGCCCTTCCGGCGGAGGATCACACAACACTTCTTCGGTCTCATTCACCGGTGGCTCCTTTTCGCGGGCGGTGCTTGCTTCACTTGGGTGATCCTCATGGTCTGTAGATGCCGAGGCATTGGCACTCTGGCGCCAGGGTGGCTGGCCCCACCTAGCCGGCATTGGGTCAGGTTGGGGTTTGGGAACTCTGCGCTCCAGTGTCCTGAAACTTATGGACTTCGCTGCCGGTTTGAGTGTCTTCCATAGCCGTGTGGGTGACTCATGGCGTCCATGTACTCGCTTGCCCATGAAACTTGTCTCCTCGTCCTCCGGCTGGCCAAAATTCAGCCACTTTCCAATGGCTGCGGTAACATTCTTCCTCCACTCTTCTTGGATCGGGGGAAGTGGCGGTGTAACTCGATCTTGAGGCTGCCAGGGGATGCCATAGCAGATCCACTGCACCATAGCACTGGCTTGGAGGGCTTGGTCGCCTTCTAGTTCAGAATAGCGAAGCATGGTGTACGTGGCATCGATCATGTCTCTTACTTCATGTCCTCGCTCCCAGGTGTCGGCAAGCCACTCCGCTAATCGGTGGAGTTCTTCCTCAAGTTTGTTTCTGGTTCGTCTCATAGTCCTTGAGGGACGTCCTTCGGGCCGGGCAGGATCTGGTAGTCGACGATGTTCTCCTCCTGGTAGTAGGTCAGGGTGGTCATTAGGTGATCCTTGATTGCGGGCTGGATCAGGTGCTCGGCTGTAGTCTCCTTCTTGTAGTAGATCAGGTCGGCGGGGCTGTTGCGAGCTGAATCTGGACATTGCCTGTCCGTTGTCACCTGAAGGTCCTTCATCTTGGATAGGCTCTGGTAATCGACGCGGTTCTCCTTGTGGTGGTAGCTCAGGTTTACTTGCATACGGGAGCGTGGGACTCATACGTGTCGCTTTCTGGACATCTGGTAGCCCTTTCTCTCGGGCGGGTTCTGGTAGTCGACGATGTTCTTCTTCCAGAAAGGGCTCAGGTGATAGCGGCTCTGCCGCCGTGGAACTCGCACTTGCAGCTGTGTGGTCGCCGGTTAGCCCTTCGACCAAAGCTGGATCTGGTAACCGACGGTGTTCTCCTCCTGGTTCGGGCCGGACAGGATCTGGTAGTCGACGATGGTCTCCTTCTGGTAACAGGTCTGGGCGGTCGCTAGGCGCTCCTCGGTCTCTGGCTGGGTCCGGTGCCTGACTGTGTTCTCCTTCTTGTAGTAGCTCAGGTCGGAGAGGACGTTGCGAATGGGAACCTGAACTTATCGTTCTGCCGTCACCTGACGATCCATCATCTCGGGTAGGTTCTGGTAATCGCCGCAGTTCTCCTTGCGGTAGTAGTTCAGGTTGACTTGCATGTTTGAAAGCGGCACTCATAGGTGCCGTTGTCTGGACATCTGGCAGCCCGTTCTCTTGGGCAGCTTCTTGTAGTTGACGGTGTTCTCCTTCTTGCAGTAGCTCGGGTGGTAGCGGCTGTTCCGCCGTGGAACTCGCGGTTGCAATTGAGTGGTCACTTGTCGGTCTTCCACACACGGGTGGATCTGGTAATCGACGGTGATCTCCTCCTGGTAATTGATCGGGGCGTCGCGGATGTGCTCGGGCAGGAACTGGTACTTGGTGTCGCTCTCCTTCGGGTAGTAGGTCAGGCTGTCGCTCCTGGCCTGACGGAGCGCTCATGTCGGGGTCATTGCAGTGGCCATACGTTGCTTCTGCTCTGCATTCTCCGGGAAGGTCCTGAGGCGGAGTTGTGTGGTCATTAAGTCCTTCGACCAGGGTTGGATCTGGTACTCGACGGTGTTCGCCTCCTGGCTCCTGGTAGTAGGTCAGGGTGTCGTGGGTGTGCACGAGCAGGGACTGGTACTCGGTGTTGTTCTCCTTCGGGTAGTAGGTCAGGCTGACTCGCTTGCGTCGACGGCGAAGTCGAGTTTGCGTCACTGTTGTCGCCATGCACCGCTTCTTCCCTGCAAACTCTGGGAGCATCGTGGCGTTCGTCTCCAGGAGGTGGTTGTCCTTCTGCCACACGCTGCCGTTTTCCTCGAGGTGCTCGTTCAGGTCCATGTAGGGGTCGGAGTTCGGAATCGGGCCGTAGGGGTCGGAAAGCTCGCAAAGGGGCGCCATGCATCATCAAGAAGCAGCAACCCCATAGCAGCAGGCACGTCGACCCGGCCATCATGTTGCAGGTCTTATCCACTAGGGAGCCCGCTCACGGAAAGTAAAGAAAAGGAGCTGCTAGAAGCGGCTGCGAAGTGCGGCATGTGCAAGGAAAACTGCAAGGGAAAGTGATGCCATCAGTCGAGTCTGGCTGGTCCGTTGAATCAGGTCTGTCATGGGCTGCTGGTGCGTGTTGAAAATTGCCACTGTAACACTCGAGTACGCTGAACGGGGCCTCAGCACGGGGCTTCACTGGTCGTTCGGGTACCTATTGTCATTAATGGGGTAATGCTAGTTGCCTTCCAGTCGTCCATGCAATGTCTGCTGTTGCTAGCCATTGGGGAAGGTGAGTGAGCCACTGCTGTGGGTCCTGTGCTACCTGCCTCCAGTCTTGCGATCTGCTGGCTCGGTTGAGCTTTACTTCCTCGTTTGAGAGATAGGGGTAGAACGCCTTTGGATGGGTGTATCCAGCCTTACTTCGCTGCTGCTCCCTCCACCAGGTGTGGTCCCTGTACTTGTCCATGAGTGCGCTGGCTGTAGGTGCTTCTCTATAGAGAGCTCTGGCGGTGTGTCCTTTGTACTTCCAGTACCTCTGAAGCCATACAGTAGACCATCTCTCCACTCGATGAGCATGGAGAATTTGTCGGGCTCCCCGGAGGGATCTCAGCCTATGATCCAGCCAGGATTCGTCAGGCTTGCGCTTGAAACCTGCTGCTTTTGCTTGCGAGGTTTAGGGCTTAGGGTTTGCGGAGAGCCCAAGGTTTAGGTTTGGGGTTTAGGATGCGGGGTCGCGAGGGTTTGGGGCTGCTCGGGCAGGTAAGTGCTCAGGTTCGGGCTGAATGCAGGGTGGATTTTATATGGGCTATCTCTGAGAGGACAAATACTAGATATTCAGACCTATTTACTGGTGCTTCAGGGTTTTGGGGCTGAAGTGTCGTAGAAGGCTTTGCAGGGAGCACATCTGAGCCCGCATGCTCTGTGCAGGTTTTGGCTTCCAAATTCCCAGGTTGCCTGGTTTGGGGGTTGCTGGCTCCCCAGAGTTCGCGAACTCTCAGCGCCTGGCGCGAGCGAAGCTGCGGGGCAAGAGATACCGGCCACATCTTCACCTCAAGTGTTGAGGGCTTTTCGGGGATGATGGGTTCAGGGTTTAGGGTGGAGGGCCTAGCAGGTTGGCGGACCGATACAGACACACACACACACACACAAACACACACACACACACACACACACACACATGAAATACACAACAACGACACATGAGACACACACACACACACGCGCAAAAACAGATGCTATCTAGCTGCAACCAGCGTTCTTCACGCCCTTCCATGAATAAACCGCAGAAATAACGCCCACGACCCACAAAACCAGCTTTACCTGGAAACCCGTGGGACCCCAAACAGCCCCTAAAGGTAAAAAACTCCCAAACTCCCTGGGCTCCTTTGAGCTAGGGACATCGTGGAAAAGGAGAGCCTGCAGCAGGGCAAGCCCCATGGAATGCCTCAGGGTTCTTTAGGGCAAAAAGGGTTCAGGGCTGTGGAGTCTTTCAGGTTTTTGAAGGAGGGGCTACAGGGCTCATATGGCTGTTGTAGGGCAGTTTTGCAGGTTCAACACCTCAGGCTGGATGTCTAGGGCGCCAAGTTGAGCAGTGTCGGGGCTCTACCGTCGAGGGTCCCAGAGAACCCAACATATGATCAGAACAAGGCTAGGGGTCCTGGCTGACCGTAAGTGGAAATGGAAGATGAACGCATCCTGCAGTGGTAGTAGTACCTAAGCTGAGCTACAGTACATGTAAAGGCTCCCAAAGCCTGGCCTAAAGTCATTCATACTACTAGTAGACTACCAATGCTTGAGCCCGTGACCCTACATGTGTTTGAAAGTCTCAGAGCTCGGCGACCCCGCCTAAATCCTGAAACCTTAAACCCGAAGGAGCGCGACGCCGCAGGAGAGTTTGAGATACTTGTACTGCAGAAACCCAATTCAAGCAGGGGGGTCATAATCCAGGAATCTCTAATGGTGGGAACTCACACCTGTGTAAGGACCTGACATGGCATCGCCATGACCTGAATGGAACAGCAATCACATTGTCGTGAACTCTCAGCAGGGTCGGGAGACGGGGCTTTGGCCGTTTGGGGCTCATGGTTCGGGCTTCCAGGTTCGGCACTTCGGGTTCTGCGGAATCTTGCAAAGTTCCCCGCACTGGACTGCCAAACGCCCCTCTCCGTCTCTACTGCCCTTGTTGCAATCGCAAGGCCTCTCTTTGCAAAGATGCATGAAGAAGGGATGCTCGACTGTCCCTACATAAACCCTTATCTAAAGCATATGCACAACCAAGAACAGATGTAACTCCCCGCAATGTCCCATACAAACCTAAACCTCCCGAATTATTTGAACCCAAGCGCGAGCCCCTGTTTCATGTATCAGCCTAAGTTTCCGACCGGCCACCGGAGCAAACGGTCCGATGGGAAGCTGCGGATCCTCTCTTCACCGATGTTTGGGCCCCTTTGGGCACCTACGACTGCAACTTCGGAGCGGGAAGCATCGCCCAGCCTCTGCTTCAGCTGCGCCTGCCTCTCAAAAAGACCCTGAACTCTGAAACATGGAGTTGTCGGACATCAAGGGACCCTTAATGCACTAGCCTTTTTTCAAATTTCCGTATCATACCTATATTATATGCAATCTGATATCCTAACATCCCACCGGAGTTGAAGATCGACCCAGCAGTCCATCACCAGCTCCGACACGGCCATGATCAAAGGGGCCAGCATCAAACTGTCCTGCAAGAACCGTTGCGGTTGAAGGTTTCCTGTAGGGTCTAAAGGGGGATTGGAGGTGTAGGGTATGATGTTGTGTGTATACATGTATGTATGCATGTATGTACGTATACCAATAAGTAAAATAGAAAGTCTTGTGTATACTACAAACTGTAGAGTAGATCATGTATAATGTATGATATGTAACGTATATAAACCAGAATCAATATACAGCAGGATTTACATAATCTATCGTATGTTACATGAAATGTACAGTATAATAGTATAATATGTATATATACAGTATAGTATAGTATAAGTATAAGTATAAGTATAAGTATTAGTATACATGCACAATACATATTACGAAACTATGTAATTTACAAAAAGATATAAACTGAAAACTAACTAGCATCTACTGTATAACATATACAACGTAGTGGTATATATAATAACCTGTAATAGATGTAACACAAGTATATAACATTCAATACATAAATACAAATAACACTGAGGAATCTAAAATACATAATAAAATACATGTTGCATGATCTGTAGTATATCATATGTAACTATATGTGTATATGTATGTATAATGTGCCATCTAGAATACATAGTATGGACTAGTTCTAGAATACAAAGCTAGCAGAAACTTATTTGTGTGTTGCATATATGTTGCATATACGAGTAACATAAAACGTATATAGTTTAAACCTATACATAATAATACATACACACACACACACACGCTATGTGTCGTGTTGCGAAGCCCGAACGTGCCTGCAAGCCCACCAACATCAAAGCCTGCATGTGTACATATATATATATATATATATGTTTGCCGGAACTGACCCGAAAACCCTGAGCCCGGCACTCCCAAAGCTTGCACAAGCGTCGAGCCGACTTCCTCCCGCAAATACCCTTGGCCCCTCGGCCGCCTGGGCCTCACTGGCCCAGAGGACGTCGCTGTACTCAAGCGGATTCCATGGAGTCTGGTACATCAGAGCCTGTCAGAGCTAGGTTTTCGGGCTTCAGGGCCAACAAAAAAATTAAGGCCTAGGAATTTGGAAGTCAGAAGACAACCACGAAGAGAGCAGAAGGCCCCTGTAGACCCAGGCCATCAGGCACAAGAAGACCGAATCCCCAACAAAAGACCCAAGCCCTTGCGCACATGTCTAGCCATATGCGTATGTATGTATGTGTGTATGTATGTATGTATGTATGTACGTATGTATGTACGTATATACAATAAACTATGTACATTATATATATATATACATATATATATATATATACATATAGAAAAGGGCTCAGGCCCCCTCCAACAAGTGAACCCCTGAGCCCCAACAAAAAGCCACCTAACCCGAGCTTGCGATTTAAGCAGGGCTTCCCACGCAAAGGCCCAATCCGGAGAATGCCAACCTGGCAAAGCTTGCAGCTGCTTTTGTTTCGAGAGACAGGGTTTGGTTTGGCAGCGCTTCTACGAATTTAAACGCTTCGGGTTGGAGCTCAAGGCTCGGCCCGCTCGTTTTTCGTGACATCCTCAGCGTACAAAAGCAATAGAAACATGCCTGAGCTGCAAACGGAACTGCCCACTATCTGTAGTCATGTCTCTACCGCTAGCACGCAATGTTCACAATGTTTAATAAAAACGGTCAGCCTGGCATCTACAGAAAGCAAAATTGATTTCACAGTCGGACATCAGGCTGACGGAAATGCCACAGAGGGACACCAAAGGAACCCCAAGGCTTCAACACCACCCAAGGAATCGGGCCACATCCCAAACCCATAAAAGCCAAAAGACGAACACACAAGGCTTCGTCGCCTAACCCGAAACCACCTTCATCCTAAAACCCTCAACCCCACACCCTCAACCCTTTACCCCAAACTCCCCTAAACTGCCTAATCCCTATACACCCTAAGCCTCTAAGCCCTAAACTCTGCAACGCCCTAGCTTCCCTCTCGCGACCTCGATCCGGTTGAGGCCAAACTCAAGGAAAACGGAAAACTCTGGCCTTCGAGACGCAGCCTCGAGCTCTTTGGAAACGGCTTAGGGTTTAAGGTTTAGGATGTAGGGTTTAGTGTTTATGGGTTGGCGTTTTCTACTGTTTCGCTTGTTAGGACCGGGTTGGGATCTTCTTCTATTCATCTATGTTGCGATCATTTTCCGTATGGCTGTTGTAAGTAGTTCTTCTCGTTTGTGTGTGTTTTGTGTGCTCCTTTGCGGGTGTCAGGTGCGGAATTGGGTTTAGGCAAAAACTAATTGTTGATTTGGGTTCTACGCATATTCAGATGCAGGTTGCGAAAGTTTGGGGCGTTGCGGCGTGCGGTAGCGCTGTAGGGGGCTTACCATCGGGCTCCAAGTCCCAGTATTTTGATCCCTTTAAACCCTCTGCAAACACCGTAAGCCCTAAACTCGAAGCCCAAACCATACGTGACTTGGGGCACTTTCTTGTTTCCGGCTGAGACCTGGAACTGAGGGTTCAACAGCAGGCCGCAGTGCGTTTACGGGTCTTTTCAGAGACTAAGGACCATGCAAGCCCAAAGTGCTAGGATCCCTGGCGTTGGAGCCGCCGAAAAAACAACCCTAAACTCCCTTACATAGATCCCCTTATAGAACTCTTATCGATCCCTCTCAATGAACCCTACATTGGAACAAGCCGTCAGCAGCCGAGTGCCCCAGCGCCAGACCGTGCAGCGGCAACGGAACTCGGCCCGATCGGCCGGTAAGCCCCGTGCCTTTTAGTAGGGTTTGGGGTTTGGGGTTTGGGATTGAGGGCTTAGGAGTTTAGCGTTTAGGCTTTAGGATTTAGTGTTTAGGTTTTAGGCTTTTCGGTTTAGGGTTTACGGGTTTAGAGTCAAGGGCTTTCGTAAAAGTAGGGGGGTCCCAGTGTGGCACTGAAGCTCCCGCGTTGTCGAGCCCGCCACCCCAGAATTCATTCCCCATAAACCCTGAAAGCCTGAACACCTGAACCCCTAAACCCTAATCCCTGAACCCCTACACCCGGAACCCCTAAACCCTAAACCCCTAAACCCTGAACCCCTAAACCCTGAACCCCTAAACCCTAAAACCCCTAAACCCTAGGAACTCTACACCCCAACCCCCTTTCTTGTGGGAACAATGGGCCGCAGGCTCACCGTGGCCGGAGCTGGCAAATGGATGTAACTCCCCTGCCGGCAGCGACTTGTGTCGATGGGGTAGAGTTAGAGGTTGCAAAGGATCTGGGGTTGAGAATTTCACACAGTGACGATTCAGAGCTGCGGAAGCATTTGCTTGGATGCCCTGCAAGATAAAAAAAACAGCTAAACTGGCACCAACGCAGTACTTAGTAAGATTAGGAAAGGCTCAACGTAATGTAGGATTTAACTCGACTCTCATGGGAAAATGCATAGTGGCATAGCAGAAACCAGTTGCTGTCACCCCAAGGTGAACTACACTCATCACCTGTATGTTCAGCCTCGCGCTGCACACAACTGCAAGCTAGATTGTTATTTGCTGCAACTTTCTCCACGGAGCGAGTCCCTTTGCGGGGGTCTTATGTGCCACTTACAGCGTTCCCTTGCCTTGCCAGCGCTGCAAAGCAGCAGGTTGTCTGCTGCACAGCCTGGAAGCGCCATCGCGAATACACCCATCCCGAAGAAGCAAGTCTATTCAAAACTCCAAGCTTCCATGCCTCCTGGCTCTTACACCCCCTGGCCTCTATACTTCACAAACGATGCATAATCTTCAGCAAACCTTGAGCTCAAGCTCAACAAGGAGACCAAGTTCCGAACGAACGAAAGCCATCTCCAAGACGTGCTTTGGGACCTCAGGCTTCGATCTTGAAGGAAACCTGCTCTGCTGACTTCATAATTAAACTATATGTATATACATATATTCACATAATAGATACATATTGTTATATATACTGATGTGTGTGTCTATAATATATCTATATACACAGTATATATAGAGTATCATCTAGTACTATGTGACAGTATGTGTAAGACTGTATCGTAAGCTTTCAGGGTTTAGGGGCCTCCTCACAGCCCATGCTTCAAATGAAGCACCGATGGGAACTGAGACGCTGTCGTAGCTGCCACGGGTACGATCGACAAGGCCGTGCCTGACGGGAAGCAATGTTCAGCAATGTCGTAGATTTCGACCAAAACTTCAGTTCCAACCCCCCTCATGAGCCGCAGACTGCATGGCGTCCACAAACTCCCAAAGAGTGTACAACAGCTGGCCATTCCTTCGGCACGGACTGCGGAAGATTCTTCGCAGGATCGAATCGTGGGCACAAGCTTGATACGATGTGCTGGAGATGATCTTGTTTTTGGACTTCTGCCGTCAAGGGAGCAATACGTTGTAAGCAAAACTGTGGGCTGAGGAAACTGCTCGAAGCCTACGCATGGCCCTCACCGTTGAATCGACATCTCAGGTCTGTCTTTTCGGGCTATGGGAAGCTGATGGAACGCAAGCACGATGCACCATGGCAGAATGAAGATTGAACAAACTCACACCAAAGTCTCAAGATCTCGAGACCACCAAAAACTTTGACACCTAAGACAGCTGGGAACGGCACTCAGCCAATCTGACGGCGAAGACCTCCCTTCTGCTGGCCTGACTACGGGCTTCAGGCTTTCAGGACTCGGGTTTAAGCTGCATGGCCATGGCGGCCCAGAAGGGGAGTTTCCGAAAATAAGGGTCCTTATTCTAGGATCCTACTATTTAGGGTACTATATTAGGGTCCCCTATTTTCGGAAACCCCCATATGCGATTTATTGACAGTCCGTCACTTGATCACTGTTCACCCATTGAAGCTGGTTCTCATCTTGAGTGCATATACCTCGTGCAAGTAGATGAGGCAAGCTCGGATGGAAACTCAACGCCAGTGTGTTTACTCATCGATTGCCAATCAAAGTATTTCAATGTAGGAGCGAGGCTCAGGCAGTACAAAAGTCCGTCTCACGCCCAATTAAGCTTTGAACCTTTTTCGGAAGCTTGAATCCTAAACCCTAAACACCTCAACCCTAA